ATGTTGTTCAGTTTGATGGAAGGCTGTACCTGGTTCCATCTTCATAAGGAGTTTTTGTAGAGCACGATCAATTTAGCAAGATTTAGGCTTATTACAAAGCACACCGCGCACTTTTTAATGAGGTTAAGTACAGCCAGGCCCAGTGAAGAAACTAGTACATGGTGAGTCTTCTATACAGTAAAGAGCAGATGACGATCTTCCTATCTCTGAAGCATCCTTTATTTACAAAGGCCTTGCCCCAGTTGTCCTATAAAAAGTCAGCTTTCCTACCCTACAGTGCTCTGTTTATATGATACTCTACCTACTTAATGGGGGAGGAGGGGGATGGAGAGAGACCAAAAAGCTGAAGCCAGGGGTATCAATGATCACCAGTGATCAAATCTCTGAGGGGTATAACATGGAATTTCCCAAAGTATAGGGCCTATACAACCAATGCTTACAAGGTAACTTTAAGGAGCAGAAGAATACTAATTCTCAGGGCTAAACAGCTTTAGATAACACTGATATGCAGACCAAAAAGTTATCTCTCTTCAGTTCTTTCTCACTCTTGTTTAGGTGAAAGAGAAATTCTCAGTATGGTGTTAAACAGCGTAGTAACCCTTAGGCCTCCCATAAGTAATGTGTCTAGCTACTTAATAAATAATTGTTCATTGTTTTTTACTTTATTGGATACCTTCAGTTTATAGCAGGGAGGGAAATTAATTTTTTAAATTGATTTAACAGGTCAATTTAAAGAAAAATGCTAAGGATGCAATACAGGGAAGCTGGTGAAATTGTGATGGTGATACAGGAGAGGCTGACAGGGGGCGGATTCAGGAGGCAGTTGGCACCAGCCTGGGTTGGGGGTGGCATTCCAGCTGGCTGACTTTGCCAGGCCTTGCTTTCCTCCTCTATTAAATGAGAACATTCATACAAATCATTTCTTCTGTCTTCCTACTCTGGTGATTTAAAATATTTCTGAAATTATGCCAGGCAATTAAAAAGTAGGATCTAGCTTGCCTTGATGCTAATCTTGTTCCTTATTATATTTCCCTGGAACCTAAAACTACACCTGACATATAGTTGATGCTTGAAAATTTTTATTGCCTGAGTAGATTGAAAAAGAAAAAATATTCATTTTACTTATCTGTTCTATAAAGTGAGGCACACCAGCATTTAAAACAATGACTTTGGTGGCCCAGTAGCTCAATGGAGACTGAAATGTCAGGAAGGAGAGGTTCCATCATGGCACCAGGATGGGCGACACAGTCTCACATCCCAGACCCCACAAGTGTCTTCCAGTTAGTATATATATATATATATATATATATATATTTTTTTTAAGACTTATTTATGCATACAAGAGCTGGGGTATAGGCCAGAGGTGCAGGGGTGAGAGGATTCCCCAGAGACGGAGTAGGGAGCATGATAGGCACACCTACTGAAATATACTGCTGAGGGGAGCAGCAGACAAAACATGAGAAGTCTGCTGTGCCATGTTGGTCAGCTCCCTGGCCGGGAATCAAACTCATGCTTCAGTAGCTGGATATAGCTTGATAGTGCTGAGACCCAACCTCCTTGCGCCACCAGGGAGGCCCTAGCATATTATTAATAGTGCTTTCAGGGCCTTATCTTTCAACACAGGGGCAAAGATTACTTGGCCTAAAGATATGTCAATGGACCCAAATAATCACTGTGTTAAGGATATTTCATGTTCCTAAATTTATTTATTAATTTTAAAGGTTTATTTATTTCTTTATGCAGCCTATGATGAGGGTGTAGTCCAGAGGTGCAGGTGGTAAGGGGATTCATCAGAGACAGAACGGGGAGCTGAACGGGCAGGTCTACTAAAATACACTGCAGAGGGAGCAGCTGGTGAGACAGGAGAGATCCCTTGCGCCATATGGGTCAGCTCCCAGGCTGGGGATGGAACTCAGACCACAGGGGTGATAGTGTGATAGTGCTAAAACTTAACCCCTACATTTCCAGGGAGGCCCTGTTCCTAAATTTAATCTTTTAGTGTTCTCATTGAAAACTGGGAATTCTGAATTCCAATACTTTAATCTTGGAATAAAAATTTAAAAATCCAAGAATAAATATAATGGAAGACAGGTTCATGGAATCTTGCCTTTTCCTAGACAGTGACCTGTATTTTATTAAACTTGTGTATCCTAAAGTTCTGGTCTCTCCAACATACTAACAACTATCATAACAACAACGACAATAAGCCAGCCACCACCACCACAGCTAAAAATGTGAGGATGACAGCCTCCATCTATGGAGTAACTACAGTATGCTAGGTCTTGGGAAACAGTTTATTATCTCCTTTAATCCCTTACAATACAGTGAGTTAGGAAGCATTTCCCCCATTTTACAGATGGAGAAGCTAAAGTTGACAAGTGCCCCCAAGCTTATCTGCACTTCAGTCCAATACTGCAGATGTCCCTAGTTCATGCCAATTTGGCTCCCTTTCAAAGCTTATTATAAAACAAAATTTATCGTGAGTCAATTATATGTAAGGCACAGAGTTTGCTGCCTGCAGTGTGATCATCAATATTCTTTACACTTCTAGAATTACTTATGAACAAGTAACAAGCTGACTTCACAAGTTACCAGTTAGTTTCTTGCTTTATTCCATTGGGTTTCTTTAAATTCTGCAATATGAAAATTCTTTATGAAACATTTTCTGCTAGGAGTACACTATGTTTCTGAAATCAAAGTATAATATCCCAGTTGTTAAATATTGCTTCATCTAATCCAATTTGTAAAGACAAACTGATTCCTCAAAGCAATCTCTAATGACTAATGGCTGTAAAAGAAAAGCATCAGATTGCCTTATACTTCTGAAGCTCCAGAATTGATCAGACAGAATAACTTAAGAGATAGGCAGTTCTAACTCCTTATCAAAAATATCTTCTTTAGCACAGGAGGAAAACCACACTGAAATTTTCAGCAAAAAGCTAGGTTGTCATCACTGACATCATGGTGTGGCACTCAGGATAACTGCCAAGAGGAACTAACCTCTGCCTTCTGGTCTCATGGGTCCTCCCATGGGTCCTCCCTCTCCACCCCTCTCATGGGTCCTCCCTCTCCACCCCTCCTCTGGCTAGCCATTTCTTTTCTCTTTTAAAGATTTATTTTATTTATTTATGCACACAAGAACTGGGGTGTAGGCCTGAGGTGCCAGGTATGAGAGGATTCACCAGAGAGAGTGGGAAGCAGAGCAGGTAGATCTACTGGAATACACTGCTGAGGGGAGCAGTGGGCAAGACAGGAGGGGTCTGCTGAGCCATGTGGTCAGGTCCCTGGCCAGGGATCAAACTCAGGTCATAGTGGATTAAACTCAGGTCATAGCAGTGACTAGCAATAGCTTGATAGTGCTGAGACTTAACCCTTGCACCACCAGGGAGGCCCAGCAGAGCCCCTGTCTCCATACTTTGCAGCTGACTCCCTGTCAGTGAAACAAGCTGTGAGCACACCTGGCACCTGGCATGGGCCCTCAGCTGCTCCTTCAAGCTCTCCTCTGTATAGCCCCAGATGCTCTCTTACTCTACCCTAGATATTCCCCTGGTGCTCTCTTTACTGCCTTCCCTTAAAGCTCTTCATTCCTACATCCTCCATAACTCCCTTTGTAGGGAATTCAAAAGTCAATATAACTAAAGTAGGACCTCCTCCTCAATTTTTTCAAAAACCTGTCTGCCACTCCCATGACCTAACAATTTTACAATCAGATACAGCCTCGCCCTTGGGGTTCACTGGTTTCTGCCAACAGTCGCCTCATCAGCCTAGCCTTGGAGACTCTGATGAGTCTTGCCCTATGCCCACTTGCTCACCATTCTGTTTGTGGTGCCAGCATTACAACCAAAGGGTCGAGTCATCGCCAACTCTGCCATTCTAGAGAATTATTTAAACTTAAATTAATGAAATAAAATGAAAAGTTCAGTTGTTTAGTCACACCCATCACAAGTGAATAGGAGCTACCATATTACACAGCACAGCTTTAGGGAGTCTAGACCCCTGAACATCTCTTACAACCAATTCCTTAGGCCAGTCTGGCTCCATAATTACTAGGAATGTTGGGTGGGAAGGGAAGTTTCCAGCTGATACAAGCTCACCAGGTGTGAGATCTTTGTGTAGATTGACCACAGCACCCTTAGAGCCAGGTCACTTCTTGCTACCATTTCTAAAAGCTGCTCTTTCACCTCCCACTCAGCCATCCACCACCTGCTGCCAGCACAGCCCTCTCGATTCACACCAGGGATTATTTGGCTCTGGTCTAAAAGGAATGTCAACCACACCACATGATCCCAACCCAATTTCCTATTTGAACTCCCACATCTCCACCTGCACCCCAAATAATACCCCTGCCCCCATGCAGTCTCATTTCTGTGAGTCCTTCATGGGGAGTGCTCTCCTGTGCTGGCTGTCTAATGATCCCTTTGCCTTCAAGGCAGATTCCAGTGTCATACTCCCCAGGAAAGCAGCCCATCTCCAGTGGCCCAGGTCTGCAAGACTCCCTTCAAGTTCAAAACCCTCCTGTTCCTGGTACAGTCATTAAGTACTGTTTGCAGAGAGCTGACAGGTACATATTTGAGCTTATGGACCACTCAGTTGCCCAACTGCCTCCCCATCAAAGAAATCACCCTTTACAAACAGGTCTGCAAAGGGGTTGTGAAGGAGCTTCTGAAGGATGAGGCTCAGCAAGGGCTGCTGGGTTCTTCTTTTCTGGTAACCTATCGTGTTAAAAATCCATATTCGGGGGCCCTCCCCAGTGGTGCAGCAGGTTAAAGCATAGCACTAAGAAGCTAAAGACACTTCAGCATGCGTTTGATCCCCAGCCCGGAGGTGACCACATGGCGTGGCAGACCTCTCCTGACCCACCTGCTGCTCTCCTCAGCCAATGTACTTCGCTGATCTGCCTGTTCTGCTCCCCACTCTGTCTCTGGTGAAGGCTCTGTACCTCTGGACTATACCCCAGTTCTGTATGCATAAATACATAAATCTTTAAAATAAATACATACTCACTCTTTGAGGAATAGTCTTTTTTCCCAACTGCTGCTGACTGGCAGAAGCTGAAAATGAGATTCTGGAAACACAAGAAAGAAAACGACAAAGCATTAAATCATATTAAGGAATATGAATGAAGTGCAACAGACAGCGAAATTGCTGGGCTTCAGAGGAGACAGAATGCTCTCTTCCTTGGCACAGGTAAAGTACAAATATCCTGCAGCTTTATAGTTTGCTTCCAGTTCACCTCCCCCAATGAAGCAATCTGCATGGAGCATGTCAGAAACTGAGCCAAGCCTCCAAAGGTGTGAAGAGGGCAAAGGAGAGATCTCAGAGCAGTGTGAGGAGAAAGCATGAGCAGGGCCTAGCGATCCTCGACTCCATGGGTGAGAAAAGCAAAAACAGGATGGGGAGTGGGTGGAGGAGAAGAACAGGTTCACTAGGGCAAGAGGGGCCCATACTAAACTTAAGACCCTCATACAGAGATAAAAACTCCCCTCTGGGATTAGGGTTGACTTAAAGGTTATATTCAGAAAGGAATGGGAGAAAGAGGGTACCATTGGACGGATAAAGGTGGATTTCTACAAGTGTCTGGCAAGACGGGATTGATCACACAGATCAAAAACAGGTAGACATGACCTCCCTAATGGAACAGGGGTTAAAGACAGCACTATATGCTATCGCCAGCCACTGCAGCACAAGTGTGATCCCCTGCCTTCCAGGGAGCTAGTCCACATGGCACAGCAGACCTCCTCGGTCTCCCCCGCTGCTCCCCTCAGCAGTATATTTTAGTACATATGCTTGTTCTTCTCCCCACTCTGTCTCTGATGAATCCTCTCACATCTGTGGCCTACACCCCATTTCTGTATGCATAAATAAAACAGATCTTTAAAAAAAAAAGTCTACAAATAAAGAGATACTGTGAATGAGATTAAAATTTATCAGCACATTATCAAGGTCAACAGACTAATTTCCATAATGTACAAAGGGTTTCTACAGATCAATAAAAACAACAGTAATGATGACAAAAAATCCAATAAAAAAAATGGGCAAATACTCTGAGTAATTTAATAAAAAGGCAATACAAATGACTCTTCAACATGTAAAAAAGATGCTCAATTTCATTTATAATAAGAAAATACAAATTAAAACAACAAGGTTATGGAGATTTTTATTTACTGTACTGGTAAAGAAGCAGAGTTTCCTAACAGACTGAACTGCTGAGGTTATGGGGAAATAGAAGCATCACACAATGTCCCAATTTGCAGTTCCATTAACAAAGTCTAGATGGAATTTTGGCAAAAATCTGTAGCAATGTACATTCCTTCGACCTAACAGTCTCACATCTAGGAATTTATCTATGCTTAATCTTAAACATGTTAAAATGTGTGTGCAATGTTATTTGTTACAGGATTATGGCAGAGAATGGCAATAACTCACACAACCATTTTATAGGGGATGTCAGGTAAACGAGGATACATTTTTACAAAAGAATATTACATACAGCCTAAATATATCATTAAAATAAGATAGTTCTATTTGGCTCCAGGAGTAATAACTTCCAAAACTTGAAAAGCAGAAGAGAGCAGAGAAAATAACACCTCTTGCACAAAAGGAGAGACAGGAGAGGCGCAAGAGTGAAGAAAGGATAGAGAGGTTATATGAGGTGAAATGTTGTTTCTGGAGGCCACACACATTGTTTTGTTATGGTTGATGTGGGAGCTAGATCAAGAAACAAAGCAGACATCACAGATACCCTTTTGTGCCTTTTGAATGACAACTAATTTACACAGCTATGACTTTTCCTATTTCATTAAACAATGTATTTCCCTGCACATGTACTAGTGGTTACCATATTTTGAGCACAGAAAACAGAATATTTTTATTTCCACAAAAAGTTCCACTGGTCAGTTTTAGAATCATTATGAGGAAAATAAAAAAAGAATCCATTAGAGCAGCCAAGACTTCATTGTTTACCTTAAGAAGAAGAGGATTACAAATGTGAATGTTAGGATCAAATCCCTCTACACAACAGTGACCTGGCTGCCTACTAAGATAACAAAGACTGGAGGACCTTATGTGACCGTCCAAAGATTAAATCACTTTGGCAGGAGCTTCAGTGTTTAAGGGTGAAAGTCCAGCACTCTAAGATAGAAGATAAGAATTCCCATCCTGTTTAGTGGTAATCACTTTGTAGTGTATATAGATATCAAATTATGATGTTATATACCTGACTTTTATGTAATGGCACAAACCAAAGTTATGTCAATTTTAAAAAAAAATTCCATCCTGAAACCACACTGGACCTTCCCTAAATCAGACATTCATATCTACTCTGCGCTAGACCGAAATACCAGCAACTGTTCCCCACAGGGGTTCTCATTCAAGTACCACACAGCCCTGTTTCTTGCTTCTGCCACCTGGCCATGGATTCCAGTGAGCAAGGAAACATCAAACCAGGCTGGTCCTGTGGGTGGAAAAATCAGAGAACCAGGAAATCCGCCACCCATTCCTCTGTGAGGAGAAACACTCAGAGGAAGCAGAGCAAGCAGCTCAATCAGGAGCCAGCTGGAAGGCAGGGGTCTACCTTCTAACCATCACATTGGTCAAGAAGCAGGAAATGAAAAAGCAACAACATGTGCCCAGATATAATCTGGTACTTTCAAACATCAGCCTCTGCAGTCAAGATGTAGGTGGTGGAGAGAGTTTGAAATAACCACCCGCTTGAATTCCTGTTGAAAATAATGAAATCCTACAGTGATACAAGCCAGTCTCCTGCTGGGTAAAAGAGCAGCCAGAAGTCACTTGACCCTTTACCTCCAGGGATCCCAAAATCTTCATAGTCTCAGGGAGCCCAGAACAAGCTTTTATGCAAACACTTCTCTATGCATTAGTGTGAATGCATGAGCTGTTGTCAGCCAGGTCACCTCTCAAAGGTAAACTGCTGCAAAGAACATCATCTAGTGACTATTTGCCACACGACTGAAAAGAATTAAAATAGCCCTCTCAATGGTGTGCCAGAGCAAAGGGACTGAAATAGAACCCTGACACCCAAAAGCATTCTCCTACTGCCTACATCTGCACTCCTAAGTAAGAGGAAAGGCAAAATTAAAGAGAGTCTAGTCTTTTCTTAAGGAGGTGAAATTGATCTACAGTATTTTCCAACTGCAGGAACAAAGTTATCATTCAACAAAAAGGAGCCCTGTTATAAACAGCCAGCAGATTTCTCTCAGGACAAGATTTCTGGCACCCAGTACTACGTTCCACCATTAGGGCCCTTTGGGAGCTGATCACCATCTTCTTTTAGCCAATCTCTTTCCCCAAAGGAGCTCTCTGTAACACAGTTGAATTAGCATCAGGAAAAAGAACACTTGATAAAGCCACAAGGAAAATGTCATAGTTAAGTGCAAAATTCAATTTTGCTTAGAACTCCATGCAAATAAATAAAAACAAAGATCTATTTTCTCTAACTTACTGGCAATGATATATTTATTAGTCCTCTAAAATTCAACAATCATCTCAGTAAGCTTATTAGTAAAATATATGGAAGGGGGACAAAGAGACTACCCATCTCCTATACATCTGCAGAGAAAGCTCTGTGCAAATGACAATCCCATGGGCACAAGAACATCACTTATTTAGATCAACAAATTAATAAAAAAGAACAATTCATTTCAAGTCATTTTACTGCTTATTCCATAGTCACATTTCAATCAACAGAACTGCTCCCAAAACAGTCAGGAAAGAGACTCTCTTGCAAGGAAAAATAAGGTTTTCATAAAGCTTGAGGAGTAACACAAAGATAACTGAAGCAGACTCAAACACAGAAGCCTCACAGTTTGTGAGGAGCTGACCAGCACTAGGAAGCTACTTCATGAGGGGTGATTTCCTAGCATAAGCAGATCACTTGTTACACAGACATAAATGGAGTAGGGTGACACTTCTGCAGTACAGATATTCCTATGAGTTCCTGAGATGCTTCTACAAATCTCTTCTGTGGCTGAAATACAATTCTACAAAACCTGTAACCATAGATTCTTAGGCCAAAAAAAAAAAAAAACCAAATAGGCACAAACCAAACCAACATAACATAAATTAAATGGTGCCATGTTAGGGTTTCAAAAAGAACCAGAGCAAAAAAGATGATTCAAACAGAATACCCTCATTATTTTCTTCAGCCAAAAGATTAGCCGGCTCCATCAACACACCAGCTGCCCTTCGTTGTTCTAGATCCTCAGGTTTTTCCACGAGAAACTATTTATCCTCCTGTGCTTTCTTTAACTGGTAGAACTCTTCCTGTTCTCTCTCCTACAGCAGTTCTGTGATGATAAAAGCAGAGGTCTGTTCCATGGGGGAAAGAGGACTTATTCAATGCATTTATTTACATGCCTGTTGGATGTCTTAACAGCCTCATCCAAAATAAGAAGTCTACAGGGAGGGTAGTTCTACTGCTTTGTTGCAATTCCTTTTGAATTTAGCTACCTGTTCCCCACCTCAGCTAAACCAGTCTGTTACACTGTCAGTTTCTTCATGGTGATCTTCAAATACCAGCACATTAGTACCCGCTGCATTATCTTTCTTCACTCATATCTTCACTTGGGCTTTATTTACATTTTGGATAACTGTGGTGTTAAATTCCCACACTGTGAACTTGGCCTCAGTCAGTAAAAAGGCAGCCTCTCTCATCTTTTCTCCCATCAACCTTTTAATCTCTATTATCTTCTTTGGAATCTACAGAAATCAGAGAGTGAAAGCATCCGATTTTTTCCCTAGGAAGTTTCAACCTGTCTGTTCTCCTTTGAATTGAGTCGTCACAACAGTCTGTGCCAACTGTGAAAAGAAGATTTCAATTTGGTTCTGCCTGACATTCAGACCACAGTTGCTCAGTTTGGGTCCCTGAACAATCAATCATAGCTGCACCAAACCCAGGCACACTGTCTACCTCCTTGAAAAATTTTATGTTAAAAGTAATAGTAAACAGTGGACAAAATTTAGCTAATAATTGCAAACTTGTGCTAAATCTTGGAACAAGGGATAAATAATCATAAAGCCACAACTGAAAACTTCACAGTTAAGTGT